CGCCGGGGCAGGTGCCTGGGCGCGGAAACGCGGGGGGCTCCCCGGCAGCGGGCCCCCAGCCTGCATCTCCCCAGCCGTCGGCACGCGGCGCTGGGCCCGGACGTACCTGGTAATCTACCAAGAGCTCCGGTCCCTTGAAGTACCGCGAGGCCACCCGCACGTTGTACTCCTGGCCGGGGTGGTAGAACTCCGCCAGCCCCCAGTCGATCAGGCGCAGCTGGAGGAGAAGGAGAGAGACCACATCGGTACCGGGACCTGCAGCCCCGCAGCTCTCCGCCACAGCGGTGCCGTGCCGCCGCGGCGGCCACGTCAGAGCCAAGGTGGGGAGAGGTGGCAGGGGCATCTCGGGGGATGACGGCACGGCGCAGGCGGTCCGGCGCGGCATCCTCCCTCCTCACGGCACCACTGATGCTCCCCCGGCACCCTCGCCCGGCGCGGGGGCCCACGCCGCCCGCCCCCACGCCACCACCTGCTTCTGCCTCGGGTTCTGCGGGGATTTCACCCCGTTTCCCGGCTCTTTTATCGAACTCAGCGGGAAGGCTTGGAACTCGGGGGCCCCGCAGCCCTCCCCGGCCTCGCTCGTTAAACCCGCGGACGCCGCACGCTCTCCGGTCCATCGGCCAGCTCATTAACACCGACCAACGCCGGGCCTAGCGCCGACCTGCGCAGCGCTGCCTTCCACTCCGGCAGCAAACCATTGAGAATTACTCTGTAATCACGGCTTGCCAGCAGCTCTGTACCCACCGCAGAGAAAACGCATCTAAGCCCCGTTTCCCTGGTTGGCTTACGCCAGAAATCTTATTAAAATCGAGGTGCGGGACATCGACCGTCCCGAACGAGCCTCTCCATTGGTCTGTAATCATCTGGGGAGGAGGACAGCCTGGCGCAGCTCGGGCGCCTGCGGGCACAACGCAACACAGCCGGCCTGACGCAGGGTGATGCCGGGCTGCGACGACGAGGAAGATTTCAAAGGGCGCGGTGCTCAAAGGGCACGGGGGCGTTCGGCCCCTTCCCCTCCGGTAACGCGGGCGGTCACCGGCCGCCGCCGGGCAGCCGCCCCAGCCTCCCGCCGGCCGAGCGGGCGCCTTTTGAAGTCCTTTTTTCATTTGAGGCCCCAGCTGGGCAGTCGCTACAGAGGTGCTAGAAGAAATCTAAAGTTACATTTACAAGCCGAAGTTGCCGCCATCCAGGTGGCAAATAAAAGGAGTTTACTGGGCGCAGGTGCGGGTTTTACGGCCACCTGCATTTCCAAACAAACAGCTGCGATTTCAGCCCCCTCCCTGCGCCGAGGCCTGCAGGGCCCAGAGCTAACGAGGGCCCGGAGGCACGGCTCTCCCGCCTGGGCACGGCCTCGGGAGCGTTCCCCTTATCCCCCGGGAGCCGGAGCCGGGGCCTCGCCGTACCTTTCTGTGCTCGTGGTCAATCATGACGTTGTGCGGCTTGACGTCTCGATGCATGACCCCCATGCTGTGACAGTAGTCCAGCGCCTGCGGACAGAACGGGCACCGTCAGAAAGCCTCCCTCCGCGCGACGTGGAGGCAGGATCGGGCAGAGGGCCTGCAGCCAGGGCGGCAGGGCCGGCGGTGACGGACAGACCCAGAGGCTCTTCTGGGCCCCCCCCGCCTCAGGCAGCCCCTGCTTCGGTGCCGCCTGCCCTAAAAGCTAAGGGGCACGGAGGCGTTTCCCAGGGATCTCCAGACTTTGGCCCTGCGCCGTCGCCTCTAGCGCGGACCCTCCCCGGCGTCCAGCACGCGCCGTCACCTCCGGTCCGCGAGGAGACCGCTAAAATCCTGTGGCACGGGTCCGACCGCCGCAGAGCCGCGTGCCGGGCTCGGCCCCCCGGTGTGACCCCTTGAAACCCAGCCCAAGCCCAAGAGCCGGAGCGTGACCGAGTGGCAGCGAGGGGCCGAACCCCACCTCCCTCTCCAGCCCCAGCGGAGGGGCCGTCGCGCCGAAGGAGACCTCGCTCGTGTCCCGGCAGTGCCTGCTCCAGCGGAAGCCCTGCGGTCGATCCCGGCCGGTCTCTGCCGGCCGGGATGGCTGGGATAGGCAAGGAGCGTGCTGGGAAAGGGTTTCAGCGCCCTGGGGCCCCCGGCTGACCGCCCGAGCAGGCTCCGGCACGGCCCCGGCCCCAGCAGCAGCTTGCAACCAAAGCCACTTTCAACACCTGGTCCCAGCGGAGGCCGAAGTCTTGCAAGAGGAAGCCGGGGAGATAAATAAGATGGCTTCTGCTCCTCAAGGACACGGTGACCTTGCGCTCTGAGCCGCTCACTAGCACGCTCCGCAGCCACCTGCCTCTCAGCCTCCCCTCGTGCGGTGGCCCAAGAAGCCACCCCACGTGGCCGGCCGGGCAACGGTCCAGCAGGGCTCGGTTGCCAAACGGACTCCAGTCGCCACCTCCCGCTCCCACAGGCAGGCGCCCCGGGGCAGGAGCAGCAGCCGCCGTCTCCTGGGCGAGGAGCTTCTCAGGGGCTGGATTTCCCAGCCGCCCCAGGAGCTTACCTTTAGGATTTCGTACATGTAGAACCGTATGTCAAAATCAGATAGCGTCTGGTACAATTGCTGAAAGAAGACAAGAAGCAGGTTAACAAAACACAGCGTGTTTATCCGCCGCTCCGGGCTCCTCGCGGAGGCACCAACGGCCTGTGCCGGCGCGGAACAGACGCTGGCAGAGCCACAGCTCGGGTGCAGAGGCACCAACCGGCCAGACGGCGCCCGGGCAGCCTCGTACCGGCTTCGTACCCCAATTTCCCCACCCGGGAATGGCCAGCGCGCCCCAGGGAGGAGCTGGGCTGACCAACCCTCGGAGCGTGCGTGTGCCCTCCCTGCTTCCGCCCAGGAGGGGACCAGGGAGCTCCAAGACCCCGCTCAGACCCAGCGCCTGGGAGGATCCCATTTCCCATCCTGAGGACGGGGATGAGGATGAGCGAGCGATTCCCCGAGACGGCCCCAAGACAAGCCTCGGGGACGAGAATCGGGTGGGAAAAGGGCGCCATCGGGCCTTGCAGCCTTAATCACTCACTGAAAACAGAACCGAGCAGCCGTGGGCAGAGCGGCGGCTGGTTTACTAACGCCTACCGCCCGGCTCGATAACCCGCCTCATCTCCTTCCACCCAGCCCAGGCTCCAGGGAGAGGAGGCTCAGCTAATCCACCGCTGCAGCCGGCAAATTGGCCAACGCCAGGTTGCGAATACAAGCCCACGATGGCCAACTGCTGGAGCAGCGTGGCCAAGAGGAGACTCGGGGATCCACCGGGATAGCCCCTAGCACCAGCACCGTACCCCTGGCTCTTCCCTTAACTGTAAAATGTAGAAAAGAGCAGCCGCCCGCAGCCCCAGATCCCCTGAGACAGCAACGCCGGCCATTTCTGTGGCACCGCGTGCCTCTGAAGTGGAGGACCCTTCCCTCCGCACCACGAGACAGCGTCGGAGCGGGTCGGGAATCCCCCGGTAGCCAGGGCGCGACGCTGGCTCTGCAGCAGAGCTCTCCCCGACGCCCCGCACCATCACCGGGTTCAGGAGGCATCTGTGACAGTGGCGGTGGTCGCTCACCTTGAAGTCCGTGTTGTTGACATGCTCGAAGACCAGGGCAGGCGTCCGAGACTGCAGGACAGCGGCGTCGGTTGGCGAGACAGAAAGACAAGAGAGAGGTTTAGTCTTCCTCAAGGCGGGAGAGCGCAGCCCGGTGTCCACGCTGCCCTGCGTCCGCCTCCTGCCCCCGCCGCCCCGGGCCCTGCCGGTACCGCAGCACAGACGGTGGCGCAAGCCGCCCTCAGGAGCGCTGCCCAGCACCGAGCAGCACCCAGCTATACATCCATCATCCAGCAGCAGCCCTGGCTCACCGGGGAGGTCCCGGTTGAGTGGCGGTTGGCAAACGTGACGCCCATCTACGAGAAGGGCTGGAAGGAGGATGGGGGGATCTACAGGGCTGTCAGCCTGCCCTCGGGGCCGGGGAAGGTCACGGAGCTGATCACTCTGAGCGCCATCACGCGGCACGTACGGGACAACCAGGGGATCGGGCCCAGTCAGTGTGGGTTTATGAAAGGCAGGTCCTGCTTGACCAGCCTGACCGCCCTCCATGACACGGTGACCCTTGGTGGGTGAGGGGAAGGCTGCGGATGGTGTTGACCTGGACTTCAGTAAGGCCTTTGACACCGTTTCCCACACCATTCTCCTGGAGAAACCGGCTGCTCAGGGCTTGGACGGGCGTACGCTTCGCTGGGTAAAAAACCGGCTGCGTGGCCGGGCCCAGAGTGGTGGTGAATGGGGTTAAACCCAGTTGGCGGCCGGTCACCAGTGGTGTCCCCAGGGCTCAGTGCTGGGGCCGGTTCTGCTCAATATCTCTATCGATGATCAGGACGAGGGGATGGAGGGCACCCTCAGCCAGTTTGCAGGGGACACCCAGTCGGGCGGGAGCGTTGATCTGCTGGGGGCAGGGAGGCTCTGCAGAGGGCCCTGGCCAGGCTGGGGCGATGGGCCCAGGCACTGGGTGAGGG